CCCACACGCTGATGGGCTCGAACTGAGCTCTCCCCCCAGTTTCCTTGCAGTGAGGGGCTCCTTGAGGTCACCTTTTTCTTCCTTGCTGCCTTTTTCCCCTCTTTCTTTAAGCCCTGTTTCCCCCCAAGTGCTGGTGGCTCAGCTCAGCAGGACGGGGCTGTGGGGGGGGTTAGAGGCTGGCTGGGTGGGCAAGGGACCCCCGCTCCCCCAGGACACCAGGCTGGGAAAAGCCAAAAAAAATGTAGGTTCTGCTGATGCAGGGGCTTTCCAGCCACATTGTACCAGTTTTACAGGTGCTGGCCCCCCTCTCCTCTTTATTAGGGGTCAAAAAATGGGCAAATGTCGCATGTAAAATGCTACTGCTCCAGCTGTGAGCAGAACGGGGGCAGGTGAGCTGTGGGAGGAAGGATTTGGGGGGGTCACCCCCCGAGATGAGGAGACCCAGGCTGGGTGTGTTTGAGGCACAGTCCCTTTCCTGGGCCCGGCCCCCGCGCCGAGGGGGCAGTTTGCTTTACAAACTCTTTTTCTCTTCCCCTCGTGCTGGAAATTTGACTCTACAAAAACACTTAGAGAGCGGCTAATTGCCAGCCCTGCAGTGGCTTCGCTCTCTAATTCCTGCCAGTCAATGAACCAGCCCAAAGAGCTGGTTTTCATAACTCGCTGAGTGCATGAACACAGCCCTGGAGACATCGCATAGCTGGGATTTATTTTATTATATTTTTTTTTTCCTGGGCAACTCCTGGATTTCTTTCACTCCCCAGGGCATAAGGAACATCCGAAGATGGAGCGGGCCCATCCCGGGGAGACACCAGGCAGACACGGACCCAGCCAGGGAAGAGATGATTGTCAAGAAATTGGTTTGAAGGTAAAGCTGGCGTCGCCCAGCCTGTCTGTTCGTGATTTGAGGGCTCATCATCATCGTCTCCCCATGGATTCCTACTTCCCAACAATGTCCACGCCTTGCAAAGGTTTCCTTGATCTGCTGGTTTGTATCCAGAGGGCTGCTGCAAAAAGTGTTGTGCTGGCCAATGGCTCAGACCACATCATTCCTCCCCACACTCCTCCCTGGCACCTTCTCTTCTCTGCCCCAATTGTGGACTGTTCATCTTCCCTCTCCCAGCCCTTCATTATCCACCTCTCCTCCACCCATCATCTCCCCTGCCCCACAGCCCGTCTCCGTCGCCCATTCCCAACAAGCCCCTTCATGCTCTCCCCTGCTCGGCTCCACACCTGGGAGCAGCAGCCGCTGAGCGTTCCCCAAGCCACCGCATCGCTCCCCTTGAAGCTCTTCTTTGTCTGGAGACACCTGCAGGAACCTTCCCAGGCTCTGCTCATCTCCTGCTCGCCATGGCTCCATGCCCCTGCCTGATACCCACCCTGGTTCCCTCACTCCTGCCCCAGGTGCTCGGAGCTTTGTCCTTCATCATGGGCTCCGTGGCTCTACATCACCCGGCGGAGCGTGGTCCTCACCCAGCAGTGGGAGCCCAAAAATGAGCTGAGCCACGTTTGGGCCGGTGACTCTGGAGATGTTGGTTGCTTCAGTTGAGTTTGGGGGCAGTGAGGTTCCTGCCCACCCTCCACAGGGTGTTCGTGGTCCTGGTGGGACCTCAGCGCCGTGGGACAGTCTCAGTGCAGAGCCAAACCTGGTGGTGGATGGGCAGGGCCAGGGGAAGGGTCTCCAGTGGAGGCAGAAGCCACCACATCAGCATAAACCATTCCTCCTCCCCTGCGACCCCTTCCCTGGTACTGGGGGGGGTGAATGGCCCCTCCAGTGGCCTTTCCTAACGGGGCCGTTAAACACCGTTGGGGGCTCAGGCTGGGCCATACAGGGGCACCCCCCCTGCCCTGCCTGGGGGTTGTGGTTTGAGGACCCCACAACAATTTACTGTCCTTTAGACAATTATTGAATCCTGGGCACCAGTACAAGTTGGGGGTGGACCTGCTGGAAAGCACTTCTGAGAAGGGTTTGGGGGTCCTGGTGGATGGCAGGCTCCTCAGGAGCCAGAAACGTGCTCTTGTGGCCAAGAGGCCAATGGGATCCTGGGCTGTGTGGGGAAGAGTGTGGCCAGGAGGTGGAGGGAGGTCCTTCTCCCCCTCTGCTCTGCACTGGGGAGGCCACAACTGGAATCGTGCATCCAGTGCTGGGCTCCCACGGTCCAGAGGGACAGGGAACTGCTGGAGAGAGTCCAGTGAAGGGCAACAAAGATGATGGAGGGATTGGAGCATCTCCCTGATGAGGAAAGGCTGAGAGAGCTGGGGCTCTTGAGCCTGGAGAAGAGAAGGCTGAGGGGAGACCTTATTAATGCTGACAAGTGTCTCAAGGGTGGGTTGAAGGAGGATGGAGCCGGACTCTTTTCTGGGGTTCCCAGTGACAGGACGAGGGGCAACGGGCACAAGCTGGACCATGGGAAGTTCCACTCCAATGGGAGGAAGAACTTGTTTGGGGTGAGGGTGGCAGAGCCCTGGCAGAGGCTGCCCAGGGAGGGTGTGGAGTCCCCTTCTCTGGAGATCTTCAAGCCCCAATGGATGCTCCTGAGGGATGTGCTCTGGGTGATCCTGCTTTGGCCGGGGGTGGGACTGGAGGGTCTCTGGAAGGTCCCTTCCATCTCCAACAATTCCGTGATTCCGTGATTCTGTCCCCCATGACCCGCCCCCCCCCGGGAAGGGGAATCGGGGCAAAACCCAGGACACGGGAGGGTTGCAATATAAATAGATTTAATAGGATAAGACTAAATAATTAACACCCCTACGGCACCGGCATGATCCCCACCCCAACACCCCGCACACCGGGGCTGTCCCCGGCCCCTCCCACCGCCGGACGCTGTGCCCCCCCCGGGACACCCAGCCGGGGCCCGATGAGCGCTGCGGCTCCGGGGGGGTTTCGGGACCCCGGT